TTGAGTATTGTTATGTGTTGAATATGTAAAATAAATTAGGCTATTTGAGAAAGCGTCCGTCATGCAAATTCGAAAGTACACTCGGTGACTGTTATAATACGAGAAGACATATTTTGGATCAGTAAACAGGCCTAATTGTTATGGATATTGGTTGCGAATGAATTAACGCACATGCTGCACTTTTTAGTGCACGTCGTGACAGATAGGATGTGTTTTTCAAAAATGAAGCTTTTGAAAGCGCTTTTTACTCGAAAATACATACTGAAACTAATGCAGTCGAGAAAGGGAAGCGGTCCAACCAATCATGTTAGAAAACAATCATGTCAGAAAGAGGGCGGAACTCCTGCGTTAGGTACACTCTTAAAAATAAAGGTGCTTCAAAAGGTTCTTCAAGCGATGCCATAGAAGAACCATTTTTGGTTCCACAAAGAACAATTCAGTCATAGGTTCTTTAAAGAGCCATCTCTTTCTTAGCTTTTTATAATCTGAAGAACCTTCTTTCGCCACAAAGAACCTTTTGTGAAACAGAAAGGTTCTTCAGATGTTAAAGGTTCTTTATGGAACCATTTAGACAAAAAGGTTCTTCTATGGCATCGTGAAGCACCTTTATTTTTAAGAGTGTAGTGACTTTTTCTGTTGCTGTATTGCTTGTTACCAATTAAAAACCTGCAAACGTACTTTTTGGAGAAACACGTAGGTGTCCTAAAAAACTATAACCTTACGCTCTTTTCAGGTTCTAGCAAATATATTGTAATGATTTCTTATTGATTCTCTCTTATTTTATAGACCAAACTGTGCACACAGTGTCTTATATGATAGAGAGTGATTTATTTGTATAATAATTAATTTCTGATTTATTACACAGTTTGTACAAAGTAGGTAGTACAACAGTACCGTGAATAAATAAAATTGAATATGTGTGCTTAATATTTGCTGCATTATGTTTAGTGGGATGTTGCTGGATTGGTGTGACAAGTTCATGACCTTCAGAGGTAAGTTTCTTTTCTTTTTTGTTTTGTTTTGTTTTGATTTGTTTTGTTTTAAATAAAAGTACAATATTTAGTTAATTTTAATGGTCTACATGCTTTGGAATGGTTTATATAATGCTACTTTTATGGCCTGTATTGTTGTAATGGTACAGTAAGAATAAAACTTGAAAATGAAAAATGAAAAATTCTGTCTTCATTTATTCACCCTCATGTCGTTCCAAACATGTTTAACTTCTGCGAAACCTAAACGAATATACTATTTTTTCATGAATATGTTGAATTAGTTCTCATTTTAATTTTTCTATTTTCAGTAATTTTGTTACTTTTTTGTCATTTTTACTAGTCTTAGTTCTTTTTTTAAAGTGTGTCATTTGTTTATTAATTTCTATTTCAATTTTAGTTATTTTACTACATCAGTTTAAACTAATTGAAAATGAGAAATGCTGGCAACTAGCTGAAATAAAACGAGTTTAATTTTTTAAATATTTTATTTTATTTCAGATAGTTAATTAGTAACAAACATTTTTTTTATGGTAAAATATACGGTTATTTTTTTTGTTGTTTCTGAACGTTTATTTTTCTTTAATAGGATAGCATATCCTGAATTCTTCAACCCCTGTGATTGTTATATTTACGATGGCATCAGTCAAAGTGAAACCACGGAGAAGACTGAGCTTAGACAATCCACCTAATAGTGAGTTGACAAACAATTCAGAACATTTAAGAAATTACGGTTTATTTGATTAACAGTGAAAGATGTTTTAACTTCATCTCACAGTGAGCAGAGAAACACCACTGAGGATGCTGGTCTTTGGCGACTCAAGTCAGGATCAGATCTCACTGACACGGTCTGTGCTGGGGCAAGACGTCTTTACTAGAGATGAAGTCAATATTTCAGCTACCAAGAAAAATTCAGGGGTTGTTCAGGAGAGAAACATAACCCTAGTCAATGCACCAAATCTTCAGGATAATGACTTGCCGGACAGTATACTTCATAAGGAGCTCAGGAAGGCAGTTTGTTTCTCATGTCCAGGTCCTCACGCTGTGGTGTTCGTTGTAGACCCATTTCACTTGACCTCTAACACTATGGACATACTGAAGCCTATGGTACACTACTTTGGGGAATGTGTCTTGAAGCACACATTGATTGTTTTATACCATGAGCGAGGCATGAGAACTCAGTCCATAGAAGACGAGGTAAAAAAGAATAAGAGCTTTAGAGAGCTTGCTGAGAAATGTAGCCAGAACTACATCTTCTTCAATGGAGAAGTAAACTGGACTGAGGGTAGCCAGACACAAGCATTGCTCACCAAGGTGGATAAGATGGTCCGGGAGCATGGAATGTTTTCAAACATGGAATTTAAGGATGCCGAAAAAAGAATTCAGATAGAGGAGCGTTTCATCAAAAAATCAAAGGAGAAAGAGATCAGGGAGACATCGAAGGCGCTGGAGAACCAACATTCAGGAGAAGCACTTGCCAGTGAGATCCTGAGGTATGAAGAAAAGATACAGTCGGAGTGCCGAGAGAAAGCAGAGCTGGTTGTTGCAGACAAGCTTGGCTTTACGGTTAGATTGGTTGATTATGCTGTTGCAGTGGGGAAAGGTGCGTTTGTTGGTGCACTTCTGGGATTTGCAGTAGGATATGAAGGTATGGCAGTGGGAGCTGCTGTTGGTGCTGGTCTTGGTGCTGCGCTTGGAGGTGCAGCTAATGCAGCATGGAGCTACATTTACAAATCCTTTACAGATGCCCACTAAGGGGTAGGGGTGTGACGATAAATCAATCCCATGGATTGATTCTGAGATTTTCTGAATGCATCGCGATTCTCTCTGGAATCGATTCTGAGCTTAGTTTTTAACAGCAGATGGCACTGTGTGCTTTAGAAACAGTACTGTGCTCGCTTCCAGTTCCATACACACACACACCACTTGAATCTAAAATAATCATTCATAAAGTTCTTAAAGGTTGAAGCGAATTACAAGAGTGTTCACAGTGGGTTGTGTTTACATTAATCTCACATCATAAACACATAAAAGCCGAGGTGCAAGTACATTTAACCACTTACATTACTCAGTCGAACGCACAAGCGCACTTTTTCGTGAGCATTTGAGTGTGCGATTAAAAACTAGCCTAGAGCACCACCTGCTGTTGAAAACTAAACTCAGAATCGATTCCTAAGAATCGCGATAGCATTCGGAAAATCACAGAATCGATCCATGTATCGATTTATCGTCGCACTCCTACTAAGGGGCTACTTAGTGCATAGTGTCGGCTTCTGACAACCCTGGATCTCCCATAGAGGTGTGCATTGCATTATTGACAAGAAATTATATCTTAATATTTTTTTGTCGATAACTATAATTAAGCAATATTTTGATTAGTGTGTTTTTGTGCTGGTACCTTGGCTGGTTTGGGCCTGTTATGGATAAATAAACATGACACTAAAACCGCCAGTAGGTGGTGGTAAATCCCTTAATGAGTGATTCATTGAATCATTCATTTAAACAATTTGTTCAAAATGGCTGGTTTATTTAGAAATGAGCCGCGTGGCTGCCTGTCTTAATGATTCGTTCAAAAACTGATTAATTCAGACACTAAACACTGCAGGGTTGCTCTGAGAGACAAAAATGTTCTGCTCCGGCTTTGTTTGGAAATAGTTGTGTTGGTGAAACAGAGGATAAAAATACAATATTGTGTCTAAAATTTCACTCAATATTAACTTCTTGTTTTTGTGAACTGTTGTATAAAGTTAATAGGAACTTTTGCGATCACACTCGAGCACTAATATTCATGAAAATGGCACCCTTGCTTATGTGATTTGACATCATATCGTATAAATAAAAATAACATAATATTAAATATAAATAACAACCCATACAGGGATATTTTTGCCCTCATAACTTATAGGGGCATTCTTTTTACTTTGTAATAGACTGCATCATGCAGTGAATGCTTTTGGACTTTCAAGATGTGTTTTTTGTTTTTGTTTTGTTTTTTGCAGAGTTACTTACTTGATAATGTGAGCTCACATATCATTAAAACAACAATTATGATATTATTGTAGACAATAAATTTTGCACACCTCTTCCTCCCACAAATCATCAAATGCATATTGCAATTAGAAGCTTATTTGGTTGGCTTTAAACATTGTCTGGAAGTAAAGAAAGTACGTTTTTTTTACTTAAAGTATTTTATCCACAATGATACAATGAGGGTTTCTGGGGATGAAGTAGGCTAGTCACTACATTTGCCAATGTTTGTCATAGCTTTGTGGGCAGCTACTGAGTTCCAGTCCTAACTTAAGGTCCTTTCCTTGTCATTTTCCCATATTAAAAAAAGAAAAATCCCTTTTTTGCCACTCATTAGCAAAGCACAAACTATAAAAACATGTTTTAACTTAATTTGAATTCAATACATATAAAGATAGTAAAGCTATTTATAAATCATGATGTGTAATCACCAATCAATCTGTAATGCTATAAAAGTGTTCTGACTCAATAATCTTTACAGCTGCCACATCTGACTGTGACGTCTATATATAGCCATTATTTTGTAATCAAAACGGAAATCATTATTGCTGGTCTTCGACAATAATTGCAAGTCATTTTAATGCATTTATATCAAAAAATGTTAAGGATTTAGGCTGATATTGCACTTTAGGGCATATCTAAACTTTTGGAGGGCACTGTGTGAATGTATTTTTAATACATTTTAAACTGTAAATATGTTTGTACAAGAGATTTTATACGAGATGTTGTTTATTTGTAAAAAAATAAATAAAAATATGTAAACTATTTAGTTGTATGAAATTTGTTGTATAATGCTGTACATTTGATATTTTGTCTAAATTAGTAATAAAATCTACTTCAACACTTTAAAGCTATTTGAGTCTATTCATGATCTGGTAAGGTGTGTGACTCAGTGTAAAGTACAAGGCAGGCATTGTCTGGCTCCTCCCCTTGCTGAAAACACACCTATGTACTTTATGGTCTAGTTCACTTTATGAAACTCACCGTAGGAGACGTGAACGACTCTCTTCATCTGCTGAAGTACCGGTAAGATCCAATGAGATTTCCATTAACTATTGTCCTGTAACTTTCAATGTTAGCTCACAATGTAAAGGGTAACCGGTACAATACAGCTTTTTAGAAAGATGATACAAATAAGTGGTCAATTTGAATGATGTAATTGTATAATACAATTACATTTAGAAATACACGGTTCATTTTTAAGTTAGACCTATTGCTAAAAGTTTCTAGCTGTCATTTCAAAAACATGTCTGAAAATCAGTCCCGAAACCAGCTAGATAAATATTTAGATTTGTCCTGAGGACGACATGGGGTTTCTGGTTGAACCCGTTCTTCTCCATACCACACGCTCAGCAGAGGCCTCTGAAGATCCCCATTACACTCAGTGGAATGCTACACAAACTCATTATATAAAGCGTTTGTAAATATTTACATAGACACAATAGCTCAAGCTTTCCTCTATAAATGACAGTTGTTGCAGAAAGTCAACTTAGCTTACAAAAGAGCACAGCATAATTTTTTTTGTTTGTTTTTTTATTAACCCTGGTATGTTGTGTTAAATAAGTCTGACAAGAATTTTCCAGTCTCTTATCTTAGTTAATGTGTTTCCATCCTACACCAGACCATCACTAGTCACTTATTCATGATTCCTGGGACAAAACAGGCTATACAAATAGCCATATGTGCAGCAGACATGTATTTAATTACATGAAGTTGTGAACTTATGCAGGGTTTATATGGGCTTTAAAAAGTCTTAATTTGCAGATTAAGGCCTTAAAAGTCCTAAATCAGAGCAGAAAGTTGTAAATTCATAAAAGTCATGCTGAAAATTAAGATCTTCCTCAGTATTTTTGTCTTGTTTTCCAGTACAAATATCTAAACATCCTTAAATTAAGCTGCGTTTATACTTTAAATGTGAAATATATATGAAGTCTTGTTTTCTCAGAAATATAACACAATTAAGTGAGTTTATGCTTAAAACAAGAACAAACATCTGTCAGTCGAGTATGAAAACGTCTTTTCCTCTGAATTATGTTGATCTTTCTCAGCCCACTGGAAGATATATCTTCTTGTTTTAATCATAACTCACCTCATTTTGCTTCTTAAGTAAATTAATCTTGATTTAACAATCTTTAGAAATGACTGTTGAAGAAATCACTTTTTTACAGTGTGATCAAAAGGTACAGTGATAGTTATTTCCATTTAGTCTTTGAGAGCAGTAGCATTCAAGCTTGAAGTTTTTATTTATTTATTTATTTTGGAAAATAAGTTAAAAATGAATTCTTCTTGTCAGTACATAACATTTAATTTGCTACATTTTATTTGATACATTCATTTGATAGATGGTTCATTTATGTGGAAATTTTGTGACGTTGCGCTCTCTCAGGAATGGAATCTACCATCAGTCTCCTGTCCGAGAAGCACTTCCTGTGCTCTCTGTGTGAGGAGATCTTCAGCAACCCAGTGACAACGCCCTGCGGACACAGCTTTTGTAAAGCATGTCTCCGTGTTTACTGGAGCCGCAGCGGGTCAGACGAGTGTCCACTCTGTAGGAGGGCCTTTGGCTCCAGACCCCATATCAGTGTGAACCGCATACTGGCGGACGTCACTGAAAACTACAGGAAGACACGTTTGGCTGCTAAATCCAAGTTCTTCAGTATGGATGAACTTCAGGATGAACCTGTGAGTATTTTCATTAAAAAACTAAACTAAATGTATACTCCCATTTATTATACTACATATTTTTTATGTTTTTGAAGGAACTTATGCTCACCAAGGCTATATTTATTCAATCAAATATATAGTAATACAGTCAAATAATACAATTTTAAATAAAAATGTTCTATTTGAATATATTTTACATTTTTAATTCATTCCTGTGTTGCAAACCTGAATTTTCAGCTTCATTACTCCAGTCTTCAGTGTCACATGATGCTTCAGAAATCACTCTAATATACTGATTTGCTGCTCAATAAACATTTCTTGTTATTATCTATGTTGAAATCAGTTGTGCTGCTTAATATTTTTGTAAAAAATATATACTATATGATACATTTTTCTCAGGATTCACTACACAATGTAAATTAAGTAGATTTAATGATTAATGATTCCTAAAAAAAAAAAAAAAAAACTTAACAGTTCTGTGGTTTTGTTCTTCACTCATGTACTGCAAACAGAAGAATGCAGGAGAGGTGCAGCAAATGATTCAGGAAAGAGTTCAGAAGATTGAGAAACTTCAGAATTCCTTAAAGCTCCTAAAGGTATGTGACCAATTGCATCACGGTGAATAAAACCATGACCACAAATAATATTTCAATAAATAAGGATAATTTTTTTGGTGGGGGTGGGGGCGTTAAAGATTCTGGCTAATCTTATTTTTTTGAATTAGGCTATTTCTAAAAGAAAACCTGTTCTTCCTCCAAACAGAGCACATGTCTTCGGGAGGTTCAGGAAAGTCAAAGGGTGTTTTCTTCTCTGTTGAGCACCTTAGAGAAGAGCCATAAACTGGTAGTGGCTGCTGTTGAGCAGAAACAAAAAGAGGCGGAGAAAAGAGTTGAAAGACTTGTAAAAGACCTGGAGAAAGAAATGCTTGAACTGGAAAATGGACACACCATCCCTGAGCACTTGGATGACAAGGAGCGTCTTAAAAAGGTAACCACATTTAATTTCTCTTTTGATAACACAGTAAAGTTTTGCTTTTATTTTGAATGTTTCTTTATGTCGTTTGACATGCTGAATACAAAAATCACACTTTTGTGTATCATTAACAGTGCTCATGAAAATAAAAAAAATGTTGAAAAGCTAATGTTATTGCTAATGCATAAAAATGACATGCTACACACATAATACTGAGCAACAACAGTTTAACATAAACAACATGAGTTTTTATTTTAAAATGTATTATTTTAAGTATTATAAAGTATTATTCTTCCCAAAAGTGAAAATCCAGTAATCATTTACTCACATTCATGTTGTTCCGAACCTGTATGTTATTTTTTTTTTCAGTAGCTACAGCATGAAGAATTTTTGTAGAATCTTTACACAGCTCACACATGAGCTGAAATCATGTAATAAGTGAAGAACAGATTGAAATTGATGTTGTTCTCAAAACAAAAATAACACCATAGTCATACAGATATAGAATGACATGAGGGCAAGCAAATAATGACATAATTTTACTTTTGGTGAAGTTTTCCTTTTAGCGAGTATTGCATAGTATAGAATAATTGACGTATTTTCATCTACAGAGCTTCAGTGATATACCACGAGCGATGAGAGACTGGTCTAAAGTCACACTGGAGACTGATCCTTGTGTTGGCTTCACCAGGCAGGCCGTGGTGGACTTCATGGATACAGTCACGATGGAAGCTAAAAGACTTTCTAAAGCTGGTATGACTGCATGATTAAAATAATGCAGTATATACTTCAGTATTTCATACTGTCCTCCTAGCTTGTCCTTCTTCTTTTGCCTGTTAGTCCTAAACATACTTCTCACAGCTTCTTCTGTTCATCATGCTTATGCTTATGCATTTTTTTTAGCATTTAAAACATTATTGCTTCTATGTTTTGGGGTCAAACGCTGTACAATTTTAGTGTATGACCACATTTAGCTTCTTAAAAGAGCCGATAACATAACTGGTGACAATACATCCACGCCAGTAGGTGGCAGAATAGGGTCCAAGACCATTGTGGAATTGGGCAGTGAAACTATATAAATGTTCATGTTTCAAAAATAAACAAATTTACTATGGCCCGGTTTCACGAACGGGGCTTAGCTTAAGCCAAGACTAGATTAAGATATGTAAGCAACTTTTACAAAAATGCCTTAGAAGAAAACATTACAGGTGTGCATCTTGACACAGAACAATGACACTGGCATATTTTAAGATATGTCAGAGCAAGATATTTTCAGTTGAGACAGCTCAAACATGCATTTTAGTCTGGGACTAGCTTAAGCCTTGTCTGCGAAACTGGGGGTATATATACAGTGCTGGGTGTTAACTAAACTGGATTACATAATCAAATTGAAAATGAAATAAAGTACTTGTAATTAGATTATATTACGTTTTAAAATCTTCATAATCAGATTATAGTTACTTTTAAATATTATTCATACAATGGCAGTAAATTATTCATAATTTATTGATTCACCTCAGTTCTTTTTTGTCTTTAAAATTATTTCCAAATTAACCTAATAGTTATATACATGAGACCAATAATTATGTTACTTTAAAGTTACTAAACAGTGCCGATGCACGGCTGTGAAATAGTGTGTCTTATCCAGTGACCTCCACTAATTATTAATATTGGAAGCCTGGACAAAAATATTTCAAGCTTGAAAGTCTTTGGCCATGTAATTTCATGTTTTCTTGTTTATTAATGTTTGTTCGTGTAATGTAAGGATCCCCAAGGTTTTGACATTTTTATGATTTTGTTCATTATTAGCTCGGTACACGATAATCACATTCATATGTGATAAACAAGTTAGGTCAAAAGTAATGTAATCTAAAAGTAATCAAAAAGTAGTCAGACTATTACCTAATATGTGTAATTCAGATTATGTTACTGACTACAATTTTCATCATGTAAATTTGTAATCAATAGTTGACTAGTAATCTGCACTGTATATATAGATACTGGGTATATATATATATATATATATACACACAGAGAGAGAGAGAGAGCTCATATCTACACTTTCAAAGATACGTTCACAGATAAGCTCCACCCCATCTTCAGCCCGGGACGACCCCACGGGGAAAAGAACACTGCTCCCCTTATCATCAGCAGCAGCTGCTGCAGCATCTGAAACACTATGCCAGCTCTTACTGCCCCTTCTCTTTCTTTACCATTGCCATCACAGGATGCAATTAATTATTATTATTATTATTATTATTATTACAATTATTACTTTTTATTTATTACTGGAGATTGCTAAAACCTTATGTGTTATTTTGTTATTGCTACACTACAAACATGAATGATACCTCAAACTGTCCGATTTTTTTCAGGAGAGGTAGACTGTTTTTTAAGCGATTAGACATTGAGCTGATAAATAATAATTAAAAAAAAATCCTGTCAAACCCCTGTGAAAAAGAAGTACACTTCATGGTGTTCTTCAGATCTTAAAAGTATATATTTTCTAAAAGACTGATCTTGCAAATACTATAATATTAATGGAAAAAGGCAACTTGTAGTAAGTGTACTTACAGAGAGTACAGTTTCATGATTATGTTTCTTAAAACACTTTTTAAAAAAGTTTTGTAATCATGTCAAATTAAACGCTTAACTTTAAAGTACATTTTAAATCATTATGTTTATCATTATGTTTTATCTTTTCTTAATCTTTCGTCAAACTTTAAAGAAGTACACTTATTTTGATGTGTTGACTAACATACTAAAGCACTTCATTATAATTTAAATTGTTGTGTGTTATTTGATATTACTTTTAAAGTTAATATATTTTAAATATACTAAATTGCAGCTTCGTCATTACAAATGTGCAATTATAAATATGTTTAAATGCATGACTTTCAATAGAAATGACATTAAAGTATATTTTTGTTTACTATAATTGATAGTCACTATGCTCGGCAGCACATTTTAACCATATTTAAACGACGATAATTATGAAATTATATACGGTATAAAGATGTGTCAACTAAATGCATTTAATATTAATTTAAACTATAATAAATGTTAATTTAATTGTAAGTAAAACAGTGTCTCTTCCGCGGCTCGGTACGCTTTCAATTCGTTTTTTAGTTTCGAGCAAGAGACTGTACGACATTCATGTACGACATTCACATTACATGATTTGACTGATTTTTACGTAGAAAGGGCAACAGCGCACCACATTAAAATAAATGATAATTCATGTGTTCATAACCGCTGGCCAAATTAAAAAACGAAACTAAAATTTAATCTTTGAGAGCAAGGGGACCCCTGGTGTTTCGGGGGCCCTACGCAGCTTACGTATTTTGCGTATAGGGAGGATCGGCTCTGAGTATGCTAAAGTGTACTTCTTTCTCACAAGGGACCACATGGCAACATGCTCCGAAACACTCAGATCACTTTAGCAACCCACAACATTGCAGCATCATGGTGGTGAAAATTATTACAATTTCTATAGGTTATGATCATCAAATTATGCAATGTGTAATTTAAATGAACAAAATGGTCTTATCCAATCTTTTAAAAATGTAAAAGTGTAGAAGAAAATGTACTTTTTTTTAACTTATTTATTTACTTTATATTCCTTAAATGCCATTGTCATGGGACATGAAAGTAAGAAGTAACTTGTATTCGCTCTGTGAACTTTTATGAAAGCAAAATTAATGAAAGGTAGTAAGAAACGACAGAATTCACTTCAAGGAACAAGAAGGCAAAGGATGAAAAAGAGGACTAGATGGATGGCTTGGGTTCGGGATGGAGGAGCGCGAGGGCGAGAGAACAGCGAGTCATTGTGCTGGTACACCAGGCACTGGGAGACACACTCAAGACACATTAACGCATTCACACACTGACACGAACGCGCACATAAGCGCATGCTTCTGCCCACCGCTGCACAGACCCGAGCTGGCATCCCAGAGGGCAGCACTTCACTCCTGTCCTTGCCTCTGAAACTTACAACCAAAGTTACATTCCCTCAAGCTGAGCCTCTTCAGAGGTCTGAATCTACAGGTTTCACCTCCATCACAGGTTTATGGCATTTCGGGTCAAGCTCTGCATCCAGATCGAAGGTACCCAACCCGAGAAGGTGGAGGATTAGCAGATTAGTGACTGTGGAAGGAGTTAAACTTCAGAGACCTCATTGTCGTCCATCAGGTAACAACAATTTCAGTCATTTATAATGGAAATCAGAAGTTTGGTTCAGTAAATAACTTGACGTGTTACTAAAAGAACTAACAATTTTGTCAGGCTATTTTTAAATGTGTGTTTTTGAGGTTTATGCTTGAAGCTAAATGCTTATGAAGCACTGTTACAGCAGCATTCAGAATTGACATAAACAGACTCAAGCCTGCTTGGCCCACTCTGAATGTTCCAAAGAAAGCTTCTTGTGTCCAGAGGCTCCTCATGTTTTTCTGAGATAATCCACTCACCCCACCAGGCGTAGCTCTACACCCACCACAGTGTGAAAAGAGCCCATTCTCTCGGACGTATAGTGAATCCAGTAATGCTCACTGTATATAACAGTGCCCAAATATTTATGTATAAACCCACATGAATATTTAAAGGAATGTTCTGGGTTACAAGTTAAACTGCATAAACAGCATTTTGTGGCATAATGTCGATTACCACAGAAATGCATTAAAAACATCATGGTACGATACAACAGAACCACATAGGACCAGGTAGTAAACAATAAAATAAACAGTTTTAGTAATAATGCCACAAGACATACGGTGGGTTTATACTACAAGATTTAAGTCTTGATTTCCACACATTAATGGAGATCAGTGGCAAAAGCCTGAAGTCGAAAGCAAATAGGTGCTTGCTTGTTCACATGACGATCTGAAAAATTTGGATTGCAGATGCACGAGAGATACATCTGTCTCCAAGTGAAATGTGTTTTGACTGGAAAAGACCTCAGCAATGACAGACAGTTGTGTAATGTGAAAACAACAGCAATCCAATGACTTTGGATGTTGTATAGTTATAGTTTGTGGGCAGCATTATACATTACACTTGTTAACATGTGACTAGTGTGATAAATCACTTACTGACCTTATCTTATAATCTTTCTGTAATCTAATCTTTCATCTTCAACGTCATAACCACGTAACACCACTAAACCAGACAAACGACACATGCGTTAATACCAGAAAGTGGCTTTTTACCTGGACCAAAAAGTTATTAAAATAACAGGAATGATCTCCAAAACAAATAACCAGACGTTCATCCGCCTAAAAAAAGTAGTTCCACCACAACATCAATTTAGGCAACTGTCAGTTCACATAATAAACATGTTTACTGAGTGACACATAAGTACATTAACAAAAACATGAGCTTCACATTTCTGAGTTAAACCCTTTTAAACACTGGTTGTTGTAACCACAAGTTTTGTCCATTTTAAAACAAACTGAAATTATCTCAGGATAAAAAAAAGTAGAAAATGGTACCTTTAGGGGTACAATAGCTTGTCACTGGGATAGTTCCCTGAAAGGGACATCTTTGTGTCTTATCTACCCCTAAACAGTTCATAGTAGTAGGCTACCTTACGGGTGCTCTAAGGTACTTAAATGCACCTTTTATGAGTAGATAAGAAACAAAGTTGTCCCTTTGAGGGTCCTACCCCTGTGACATGCAATTTTTGCACATTTTCTAGCAGCGTATGCCACAAATGCTGTCGATAGAGCTTAACCCAAGGGTGTCCTAAGAGCTCCTGTAGGGCAACCTTCAA